GATGGACTATCAAAAATAAAATTTGAGGGAAAATTTTAAATATATATTATTGAACACCTGATTTTGTGTTCAAGTTATTGTGTCCAACACATTGAAGAGGAATAATCTGACATTCATTGTAAAAAAAACTCATTTCAAGATATATCCCAAAATGCAATAATAGTATCAGTGATAATATTCATACACATACAATAAAGACCTACTAAACAAACAAAAGTTATAAATAAAGAAGGATGGATAGCTGGAAAATATGGGATTACTATTAGTCGGAAAAATTTGAGTACAAAATGGCAACTCTTCAAGAGCTAGAGATTAATCTAGGTAGTAATCAGGGTTACCCATGGTGGACAGTGTTTGGTGAAGCTCCCTGATTAAAACAAGCTTGGAAGCAGGAGTGGCATCTACTTTCACAATAGCTTGCCTCTGGAAACTCTATGAACCTAGAGAAAGGACGAAAGTTATACAGGAGGTGTCCAGGACTTTTGTTCATAGGGTCACTATGAGTCGCCTACGACTCGACAGCACTTAACAACAACAACAGTGATCAATTATAAAAGTTGAGGAACTTTGGAAGACTCAGAAAAGTAATTCTTACATTGAGAGAGGCAGAAAACCCATTCCACTTCTATACTTTATTATCCTACTATTCACAACCGCTTGTTTTACTTCTATGTGAAGAAGTCAGATTCCTACTTAGGCCTTTAAAATTATTGAATATCTACTAGAAGAAAGCCACTGTGTTGAACTCTAGAAAATCCATATATACCTGAGAAATACCTGTATTTGTTACACTGCAAACCGAAAGACTGCTCCTGTCTGGTGGATTGAACCCATCAGTGGCTCTGAGAGTGAAAGACAGGCAACGTCCTCCTGTGCGGTTTACATAATGGTTACCCATGGTGGACAGTGTTTGGTAGAGCTCCCATATTAAGACAGACTTGGAAGCAGGATTGGCATCTATTTCCTAAATTACATGTCTTTGGAAACTATGAACACTAGAGAAATGATGATAGTTGTAGAACAAAGTTCAGATCTTTTGTTCATCCAGTCATTGTGAGTTGTACTTGACACCATTTCATGACAACAACATAGTAGAGAGCTGCTGTTTTCTTGACTGTAATTTCATTTTTTAAAATTGTGATTTGAGTGAAAATTTACAGAGCAAATTGGTTTTCCAGTCAAAATACACATATTTTGTTTTATGATGATTACAATACTCACCATTTAACTGTACTCGTCTTTCTCTCTCCCTGTGAATCTTATTTCCATTAATCCTTCTATCCCAACCATTTTTGCCTTCTAAGATTTATCTAGAAGACAAGAGATGGGCTTTAATTTCATATGACTGATTGGTTTAGGTCCTTCCCTGATGTTATTGTTCACTTTATGCTGTTAGAACTGGAAGCAACAAAATAGAAAGGAAGCAGTAATTTTAAGTTCTCACTGAGCTGTTGTTAGGTGTGAGTTGAGTATGGTCCCTAGTGACCCTGTGAACAACAGATTTGAATCCTATCCTATCATGTGCCATCGTCACCATCTCTGACACACATGAGCCCATAGCTGCACTGTGTCAATTCATCTGGTTGAGAGTCTTCTTCTCTTTTACTGACCCTCCACCTTCCCAATCATGATGTCCTTCTCCAAGGAGTGGCCTCACCTAGCAACATGCCCAAAGTACATGAGATGAAGCTTTGTTATTTTTCCCTCCTTGCACTCTAGCTGCACCCTCTCCAAGACATCTCTCTTTATTCTTTGGAAGACCATGAGATTTTCGGTATTCTTCTCGAACACCACAACTCAAAGACTTTAATTTTTCTTCTACCATCCTTATTCATCATCCAGCTCTCAGATACATAGCAAGTGTTTGAAAAGACTATGGCCTCAAAAAGGCACACTTCGGTTCTCAAACTAACATCTTTGCTCCTTAGTAATTTGGAGTTATCCTTGAGTGAAGACTTTTCCAAAGCAATACATCTCCTGATCTGTCAGTCAGTACCAAGTGTATGGATTGTGGATCCAAGGAATATGAAGTCAGAGAGAGTTTCAATCTTTTCTCCATCTGTCATGATGTTGTCTCTTGGCCCAGTGCTGAGAATTTTTGCTTTCTTGACACTGAGATGCAAATCATATTGAAGGTTGTATTCTTTGATCCTTTGCGACAAGTGCTGCAAGAACTTCCTCACTTCCAGCAAGCAATGTTATGCCACTCTCTGATCTTGATGCCACCTTCTTCTTCATAGAATCCAGTTTCTCAAATGATTTGCTCAGCATACATATTGAATATGTATGGAGAAAGGATAGAATCCCATCTTCATTTTAAACCAGGTAGTGTTGCCATGCTCTGTTCACACGGCAACCTCTTGGTCTAGGTAGAGGTTTCATAAGAGCACAATTGAATGTTCTAGGATCTCCGTTCTTTTCAAAATTAGACATAATTTGTTATACACACAGTCAAATGCCTTTACATAGTCAATAAAGCACAAATGGACATTCTTCTTGTATTCTTTGCTTTCAGCTAGCATTCATCTGACAACGACATCAGAAATAACATCCTTGGTCCCACAACCTCTTCTAAACCCAGCTTGAAGGTCTAGAAGTTCTTTGTTTGTGTACTATTCTAGCCATTTTTTAATTCCCTTCAGCAGTATTTTGCTTGCCAGGGAAGCATCAAAAGAAAATGGAAAGAATACACAGAATCACTGTACCAAAAAGAATTGGCCAATATGGAAATGTTTTTTAGGAGTACCATGTGATTGAGAGCCAATGGTAATGAAAGAAGTTCAAGTTGCACTGGAATTGACGGGATATCACCTGACATATTTCAAGTAACAGATGTGACCCTGGACAGTTTACTAACCTGATCCAGGATATTTGGAGGACAGCTAACTGCATAGCCAACTGACGGAAGAGATCCATGCTTGTTCCCATCCCCAAGAAAGGTGATCCAACAGCATGTGGAAATTATTGAACAACATTGTCAATGTAGCATGCAAGCAAAATACTACTGAGATCTTAGAAAGCCTATTTAGTAGACTTCCTCCTGATCGACAAACTGAATGAACAATTGTTGTGTACTGTCTAGTTGAACAATTGTTGTTGTGTACTGTCTAGTTGAAAGTAGGAATGGCATCCACTTCCAAAATAGCTTGCCTCTGAAAACTCCATGAACTTAGAGAAATGATGAAAGATATGCGTGTTCAGGACTTTCATTCATAGGGTCGTCTATGACTTGACGGCACCTAACAACAATTGTCTAGTTGGAACTGACTCATTGTTAGCCCTTCAGCAGGTTTTCGGAGGCAATTTTAAGCACAAAAGAGGAGATTGCTCATCTATCTCCTGCAGAGCATCTTGTGGATACCATTTGCTTGCTTTTGAGTTGGCAACATAACTCTTTATCAGAAAGTTTCCTGTATAAAAGAAGAGGTGGTTGTTACTACCGGGAATATACGCCAAAGAAACCATAACTAACATCCAAGCAGATATAGGCACACCCATGTTTATCACAGCTTTGTTCACAGTGGCAAGGAGTTGAAAACAACCTAAGTGCCCATCAACAAATGAATGGATAGAGAAGCTGTGGTATATTCACACAATGGAATACTATGCTGCATTGAAAAACAAGGAACTCATGCAATATTATTCAAAATGGGTGACCCTGGAGGACATTATGCTGAGTGAAATATCTCAGTCACAAAAGGACAAATGCCACTGTTGTAAAACAGGACTGACCTCGGGGATTGGGGGAGACTGAGAAATATGGGTTCAGTAATGTCTACTGCATTGAAACAGATGAGGGAGAAAACTGTCTAAAAGGGATATGCTATTGGGTATTTTTATCATGACAGGAGTCCAGAGTGAAGGCTGCATAGTGGAGTGGATCTGGGGGGAGGGATTGTAAAACAATGACAAAATTTTTCTTTTATTTTTCCAAGAGGGTAGTGTACTAGGGGGGAGGGTTGCAAGGTGGAAAAAGTGCAACAGTGAATAAATGGAAATCCAAAGTCTCTGTAAATTTTCATGGAAATGAATAATAAATGAAAACAACAACAACAAAAAACCCAACAGGTACTTGATGACATCAACTGAGGCACTTGATGACATCACTTGAGCCTATAGATGACACATTTCCTGAAACTATATTGAATTGTTTTCTTTTCAGTTAAAAACATTTTTTAAATTTTCTTTAAAAAAAAAGAACTCAAAACTACCTTCAAAAATAGCAGAGTTAATTGTTGTTGTTGTTGTTAAGTGCTGTTGAGTCATAGGCGACTCATAGTGACCCTATGAATGAAAGACCTGGGCACTTGTATAACTTTCGTCCTTTCTCCAGGTTCATAGGGTTTCCAGAGGCAAGCTATTTCAGAAGTGAATGCCACTCCTGCTTCCAAGCTTGTTTTAATCGGGGAGCTCCACCAAACACTGTCCACCATGGGTAACCATTATCACATTTGACACATCAGTGTCACAGTGTTTAGGTTTACAGCAACCACAAACTACCTATGTACAGCAAGTGGACATACAAGGGTTATACGACCTAGAAGAATGTTTCACCAAAAACAATTAAAGGCAGGCCTGAAGGCCAAGAAGTAGAGTCACCCACCATTGGCTTGGGGGTATGACTAAAAAAAAAGCAGAGTTATAGAATATTAAAAAATATAACACTAGTAGAAAAATTAGTCATTACATTATATTACATTACGGTGTAAAATAAACATTCATAAACTGAAACCCTACCATTGATGACATAAGGCACTTAAATATTACTTTCTCTTGACACCTCCAGAAAGTTGTGGACCAATGTGGACATGTGTTTTATTATTATTTTATTTCAATTAAGGACAAATCATTTGAGTGTTATACATGCCCTTAATTTGCTGGTGAGTAAATAAGATAGCAACCACAGTTGAGAACATGGGTTGGAGAAGACTATACTATACTGTTTTGCTCTAATTTGTTTCCTTTACTGTGTGCTGTGTGGTAATTGGGCTCTTCTGCAGCTAGTCAGAGTCTTCTGATTGCTTTAGGTAACACAGGCTAGACCCTGAAGTCGTATCTTCCTTGCATGAAGTTGAACTTATCGAAGTGTTGACTTGCACATCTTGTTCTGAATTTAAATCGGAAACAGAGGAGGAAGAGGGAGCATTTGACCCCATGTTTTCTGATTTTAAGTCCTCTGAATTTTGGCCTCTGGATTCCACGTACCCTGATTTGATGTCTTCTGTTTGCATACTGTCCCCTTGCGTATCCTCTTTCGGTGTAACTTCAGCTGGAAGGTCTTCTTGGGCCTGAACTTGATCCTGAATATCTTCAATTACGCCCTCTGGTAATTGGTGATCTAGGTTACGTTGGAAGTGCTGGGTTTGGGTGTCTTGGTATAAAGCTCTCTGCTTCAGGGCTTCTCTCTCCAAGAGATCTTGGGATTGCCAGTTTCGAGAGTTCTGCGTTTCAAATTGCCATTCTTGTGCTTTCCAATCTTTGTTTCTCCAGCCTTGAGTTACCCAGTCATAGCCTTGCTGGTAGGTAAAGCGCCAGCCTTGGGTTTCCTGTACTGCAAATTGCATTCTGGGGGGTTGCCAGAGTTGAGATTCCTGGGCTTGTTTGTACTGAGCCTTGGGAACACTCTTCTCTTGAGCTTTCCGTCCTTTGAGGGGCCGATCTTTGTATTTTCCCTTCGGAGATTTTTCCTCATCAGCTTGCTGACGTGTATCTTGTTCTGCTGGGAATTGATGACCGTCATCTTGTCTATTTGGGAATTTCCCATCTTGGACCTGTTGGTCTTCAGTTGTCCTTTCCTTCTCTGTGGTTTGCAAGGCTAAGCTTTTCTTCCTTGAAGATTTTGACAATTTTCTTTGCTGGTCTACCGATTTCCGCATTGGGGAAAACCAGCTTTTGATTCGCTCGTCTATGGACTTCCGCCTTGGAGCCTTCTGGCCCTGCAGGTCTAGGGATCTCCTCTTTGGGAATTGCAAACCTTTGCTTTGGCTTTGGAGATCTAGGGAATGACGTTTTGAAGATTTGTCATACGATTTCCCCTCAGTATTCCATTCCTGAGTCAGTAGGATGACTTCTGATCTAATGTCTTGGTATTTTACATCTTTAACTTGTTCATTTGAGGACTCTCCCTCAAGGGCTGTTAGAGCTCGCTCAGAACTTCCTTGGGTTGGCATGTCTTGGTATGCCAGGGTGCGGCCTTCATATTGTTGACTGGGGACTGGCATGATTTGGGGCAGTGGGTCTTGGAAGAACAAAGCGTGTGTTGTAGGAATAAGGGGCCCTTCGATTTTTGGCAGTTTAAATTGTGAGAATCTATAATGCAAGGCATAGGATTTCAAGAATTGGAAATACAAAACATGAGTTGTAGAAACACGGGAATCTTCTTGTACCACGACTTGTGATTTTTGAGGTTGATATTTCCTTGCTTGGGAAGGAAAGTTTTGAAAAAACACAGCTTGCATTGTGGGAACAAGGGGTGCTTCAGTTACCTGTGCTTGGGATACTTGGACTGGAGTTGGCAGAGAAGGTCTTGCTGTATCTTTGTAATACAAAATGTGTGATGTAGAGACAAGAGGCCCTTGACTACTCAGACTTTGAAATGGCAGGGCATAGCATGGTGAGTCTTGAGATGGTAAAGCTCGGACTGTTTGGAAATAAGACTGTAATGAGTAGGATGAAAAAACTTGGAATGGAAAAGTATGGGCGCTGTGCACTTGGATTTGCATTTGTGGGGGTTGAGACACAGTGGATTGTAGGTCTTCAGGATTACTATCTTCTGTATTTTCTTTGTGTTCCTCTAACATAAGTTCTAAAGGATGCCTTGCGACTTTTAACTTGAAGAAAGCGTAACCCTTAAAGAAATACGCATTTGCATTTGCTGTTTTATGGGCAGACTCTGTTGGAGGCTCATCTTGTAGGTGGGTTTTTCCTGCTGGAGAAGGCCTTTCACTTTTTTCAGTGATATCTGAAGGCAATAAAAACATAATCTAGAAAATCAAGGAGAAGAGAAAAACCACATTAATATGTATGACACAATCATGTTAGAATTATTCCCTTCTTGCTTTCCTAAATTCTCTTTCATCTTTGTCTCAGGATAGTAGACCAAAAATAACATATAACATCTGGATCAGGAAATAGAAAATAAAATATCACTTCTACCCTTAGCACAAACTATTAACATCAAGAATTTTATTTTAAACCACTTAACAACTTTCATTATCTAAAGCCTTCCATGGGGGAATTTCAATGATTATCTGAAAGGGTCCTTTCATACTTAATATTATACAACTTCTAATACACTTTAAGTCATACATTCAGTGTTCGTATTTACAGTCTTAACCTATAGATAGTTATTCCTCACCTACTAGGTAAATTAGATGCTGGAGATCAAAGATAATTAGATCTGTGTCATGGCTTTGTGGATCTGTTGCCTATAGGATGGCTCTGAGTCATAGTCAACTGAATGGCACCTAACAACAACAACATGACTTTGTAGTGTTCACGATGCGAGACAGACCGACATATAGAGTACAATAATAACAATTTAACAACTGCTATTATAGCTATAATAGTGTATTATATAATAATATATAATATATTATATTGTATTATAATATGTAATATAAATGTTGTTATTATATTGTATAATAATATAACAGTTGATATTCTATGTTGGTATGCTCACCTCCCTCCATTATGTCAAGTTGGTTCTGGTTCATAGTGGCCCCATAAGACAGAGTAGAACTCTCTTGTAGGGGGGCACAAGGCTGTGGGGTTTTTTTGGTTTTTTTTTAAATTTTTTTATGGTATTATTTTTTGTGCGTGTACCATCAAATTGGATCTGACTGGTACAGGAGGAGATTTTTCCTCCTTCTGCAGCAGAGCATCTGGTGGATTCGAATCGCACACCTCTGGGATTGTAGTACAGCTTCTTGCCACTAGGCCACCAGAGCTCCCAAGACTGTGGCTTTTATGAGGCTGGTTGCAACATCTCCCACAGAGATGTGAGTGAGTTAGAAACCCACGTGGTGAGTTAGAAACACTGCCTTTCTGCCGGCGGCATCGCATCTAGTCCTTGTACTGCCAGGATCGTCAAGATGGCACACCCTTACAGAAGCACACTGCCTGCCTCACCTTTTTTTCCACATAGCTGCCAATGGATGAAAAGTGCTGGCCTTTGGCTTAGCAATACAATGCTTACTCCACTGTTGTTGTTGCGTACTATAGAGTCGGAACTGACTCATAGCTGACCCTCTGGCGGGTTTTCATGATGGGAGATTTCCCTGTCCTTCTTCCGCGGGGCAGCTGGTGGCCTCGAAGTGCATGCATTCGGGATCACATCGCAGCTTCTTCCCACTAGGCCACCAGAGTTCCGCTGTACGACCATTCTTTTTTTGGATGGTACAGCGAGAGAACCATACTATCATAACATGGGTTCCCGTTAAGTATGGTTTGTTGCTATATTTAGGCCAGTAGAGAAGAAACAAGGTCTGAAGACACAGGACAGTGAATGGCATATGAGGCATACACTCAAGGAGAATAACAAAAAGGAAGTGGAGAGATCTTCAGTACCGTGGTAATCCTCCTTCATCTTCCTGAATTGAAAAGTTTCAGTTCTGTGTTGAAGTATGTCTCCCTACCTATTCGCAGGCCAAAGGTCATTTAGGGAGTACCTGTGGGAATTCATCTGCATATCTACATTGAACATACCTCATTTGCTCGTGTCCAAGACTGGTTTCTTAAGGTTACCACGGTTAAAGAGATGCTGAACTCTACTATACAGATAATCAGGATGACAGATAAAATTCCCTGTGAATAGTGAAGAGAAAGAAATTGCGTTAGGCATGAAAACCACATCATCTTAAAGATTTAGGCCACTCAGCCCTTATATACTCTATTATTAAGTATAGTGAGACTCATAGACTTGAAATGCTTGTGTAGTCATCGAAAGTCATATGCCGTTTATTTCCTGTCTTTATAATAAAGTAAGAACAACAAACTCTGATGCATATAAGGTCCGGGAAATAAACCTAAACGAGTGCAACAGACTGTGCACTCATTCACTGATAGGAATAGTGCTTCTCTCCAGACATATGAAAATCTTTTGCTTCCTACCATGAATGAATTTTATAAAACCAGTTACCTATATACAGAATCAGAGAACCTGTTTTAAATTTAGGAAGCTAAATTTGGAAGGAATTGCATCAAGAAAGTTGGCTATCAGGGACCTGTCCAGTACTAAAAAGCAACAACATCAGTCTGGAGACTAAGGTGCACCTGATCCAGGCCATAGCCTTTGCAATTGCTTGCTATGTTTCAGAGAGCTGGACAATGACCAGGGATAATAGAGTTGATGCCTTTGAGCATACCATGGACTGCCAGGAGAACAAACAGGTTCATCCTAGAGAGAGTGAAACAAGGCTATTCCTTAGAGGCAACGATTCTGAAGCTTTGTGTGAGATACTTTGCGAATGTTGCAAGGAGGGACCAGTTCTTAGAGAGGGTCATCATACTTGGAAGGATGGAGGAACAGAGAAAGGGAGAAAAACCATTGATGAGATGGATTGATTCAGTGACTAGGGTAATGAGGGTAGATGTGTCAGAAAAAGTAAAGTTGGCACAGGATAGAGCAAGTTTCAGGGCTATTGTACATAGGGTCACTATGAGTCACAAGTGACTCAATGGTACATAACAACAACAAATTTGGAAGTGAAAGTAGAGAATAAAGACATAAACAAGATAGATCCATTACTTTGTTCCAGCCAATTGCTGCTACATGGGGATATAGCTTAGAGAACTGAGTTTTCTTGTTTTTCCTAAGGAATCTGGAGGGGGAGCCGAAGAGAGAGAGAGAGAGAGAGAGAGAGAGGATATATAGATAGATGTTGTTGTTGTTGTTATGTGCCGTCGAGTGTCTTGTAACTCATAGCAACCCTATGTACAAGAGCCTTAAACCCTGCTCTATCCTGTGCTAACCTTACCATCTCAGACACACTCATTTCTACCACCCCAATCACAGAATCGATCCATCTCATCAAGGGTCTTTCCTCTCCTGGGCCGTCTCTCCACTCTCCCAAACATGACGTCCCTCTCCAAGGACCAACATGCCCAAAGTTCATGAGATGAAGCTTCAGAATGCTTGCCTCCAAGGAGCAGTCCAGCTTCACCCTCTCCAGGACAAACCTATTTGTTCCCCTAGCAGTCTGTGGTATATTCAACACTCTTCTCCAGCACCATAGCTCAAAGGCATCAATTCTCTTTCATCCTTAGTCACTGTCCAACTCTCCAATGCATAGCACATAACTGTGAAGACTATAGCCTGGATCAGGCACACCTTAGTCTCCAGCCTGATGCCATTGCTCTTCAGTACTCGAGAGGTCCCTCACAGCTGACTTTCTTTTTTAACTTTTTTATTATTAATTTTATTGAAAATTTACAGACTTAGGATTTCCTTCCATTCATTCATTGTTGCACTTTTCTCCCTGTCTGAAACCCCTCCCATTCGCTCTTCTTTTTGAAAAGTAAAAGAAAAATTCTTTCATTGTTATACCTCATTTATTATTCTTCCCTTCAAGTTCACTCCACTATGCAGCCTTCATTCTGGACTCCTGTCATGACAATAATACCTAATCACATGTCTCTTTTAAACAGTTCTCTCCCTCATCTGTTTCAATGAAGTATACATTATTTATCCCATCTTTCTCAGTCTTCCCCCAACCCTGATGTCAGTTCCATTTTACAACATTGGCACTATGCAGTATTTTTCCTTTTGTGACTGAGATATTTCCCTCAGCATAATGTCTTCCAGGACTACCCATTTTGAATAATAGTTCATGAGTTCCTTGTTTTTCAATGCAGCATAGTATTCCATTGTGTGAATAAACCACAGCTTCTCTATCCATTTGCTTGTTGATGGATAATGTAGAGATTTCCATATTAAGTGTGAAAATTATTCATTCACTTGTATGAGCCAAATAGACTTCATCAGCAGACAGGACGTAGCTATTTTAAATAGATTTTACATAGATTGCCATTTTACATGCTCTGCTTTGAGATAATTTTTAGATAGTAGATGTTCATAAAACTTGGCCTCCCTAGCAAAAGAACTGAGCTTAGCTTAGTGGTTAAGTAAGTGTGACTTACAGAGTGACTGATTCAGTTTTTGTAGTTGTGAAAAAAGAATTAATGATGCCTAGCATAGAAGCTTTGTTCTGTGAATTTTATATCTTTAAAAGCATAACGTCATGTCTGTCAGTGAAAGGAATTCAATACACGTTAATCTTCTCTCCCTCAAAGATATTAACAAGAGTTTAGCTATCTAGTAGATTTGCATCTGCAACACATCTCACAACCTGACTGGATATTTCCACCTTTAAAGGACTGTATCAATTTGTCTCATCCGAAGTCTTCCTCTCCTGTGCTGGTCCTCTACCTTTCTGAATATAATATCCTTCTCCAAGGACCGGCCCTTCCTGGTCACATGCTCAAAGTATGTGAAATGGAGCTTCAAAATCTTAGCCTCCTGGAGAAGATGCATAAACAGGCCCAAAGAAAAAAAGAAAGAAAGAAAGAAAAAAATCCTGGCTCCCAAGGAGAAACTTGGTTTCACTCTCTCCAGTACAGACATATTTGTTTTCTTGGCTCTCCATGTTCAAGAATCTTCTCCAGCACCACAACTTATTCTTCTATCCTCTTTAGTCATTGTCCGGTTATCTGATGCATAGCAAATAGTTGTGAAGACCGTGGCCTGGATGAGGTGCACCTTAGTCTCTAGACTGACATCTTTGCTTCTTAGTACTCTGGAGAGGTCCCTGACAGCAGATTTTCCCAGTGCAATTCGTCCTTTGCTTTCCTGACTGCTGGTGCCAAGAGTGTTGATTGTGGAGCTGAGCAAGCTGTTAATTATTGACAACCTCAATCTCTTCTCCATCTATCATGGTGCTGCCATTTGGCTCAATGGTGAGAATCTTTGTCTTCTTGATGTTGAGCTTCAATCTATAATGAAGACTTCAGTCTCTGACTTTCTATTTACATAATTAAATTGTGGTAAGTAAGTACATACGCATTGGGAGCTGTGCCATGCTAGATGGAGGTCTGACGAGGGGCATGTGGGGGAGGAGATGGACGTGGTCACCATTGTATCTTACAGGATATCCTTAAGGAAATGATGTTTTAGCTGAGATGGAATAATCAAGGAGATTTAATTAGGTAGAAAAGGATGGGCACTGGGCTTGGGGGTCCTCTACACAGGAAGAAGTTGGTCTCGGGATTCTGGGGTAAAGGGTTCTTGATACATTAGGGAATTCAGGAAGTGGAGAGAGTTGGAAGTCAGAAAGACAAGGTCCTGGCATAATGCTGAAATGACAGGTGTGATAGGGTCTTGGCCATTAAAACATCAATGGAAAATACAGTGTGAGAGGCTCAAACCACATTTTTTTATGTTGTTGAACAAACTTTTAAAGTAATTCTGTGCCTCATTAATGCGTGGAAAAGTAGCATTTATCAAAAAAATACCAATAAAATCAATAATAGTTAAAATTCATGACTGTTTACCCTGTGCCAAGTATTATTTAATAATTCCTATGAAAGGTAAGTATGTTATGTCTCCATTCTCCAGAACAGGAAGACAGAGCCTCCGGAGGCTCAAAAAGGATGAACTATTACTCAGAGTTACACACTTGTCACCTTTAGAAAGAAGATTCCGGTGAGACAATATGAATCTTGAACCATCTGAATTATCAACATGCTTCTCACAGGTCAATTCAAATGCTTCTGTGATGGTCAGTTCCACAGTTTGACACAAAATTCAGGAGTGATTGCAACAGGAAAACAGTTTGGATCAGATGATATAGGTTTATCAAACAAAGCAAGACCACTTACCGTCAAAAATACTCTCCCTAGAATGCATATTCCTTCAATGGAAGGCTTCTGGCAGAACAGGTGTTGGTCTCGAAAGCTCATAATTGTGAGGATAATGCCAATTAAGGCAATCAGAGAACAGAAGCCGTTTATCATCCTGGCATGTGTATACTGGAAAATAATTATAAACAAACAAGTATCAAACATCTGATAAGATATTTCTGGTGCCTTCATGGTATTTGGAAGATGTGCTAGGTAAAGTTAGTAATTTATTAAAATCAGTAGACAAACCAAGTGTTAGAATGGACCCGAGTGCTAAAAAAGAAAATGAGTGAAAACAACTATGAGCTATCATCTCACCCCAGTAAGAAGAGCAAAATTTAACAGAACAACAGCATCAAATGCTGGCGAGGTTGTGGAGGAACTGGAACCCTTATTCACTGTTGGTGGCATTGTGAAATGGTGCAACCACTATGGAAGGCGGTATGGCGCTTCCGCAAAAAGAAATACCGTTTGACCCAGCAATTCTACTACTGGGAATATACCTCAAAGAAACCATAACCACCACCCAAGCAGATATGTGCACACTAATGTTTATTGCGCCTTTGTTCATGATAGCAAAGAGTTGAACACAACCCAAGTGCCCATTAACAAATGAATGGATAGAGAAGTTCTGGTATACTCACACAACGGAATACCATGCTGCATTGAAAAACAAGGAACTCATGAAATATTATACAAAATGGGTGACCCTGGAGGACATTATGCTGAGTGAAATATCTCAGTCACAAAAGGACAAACATTGAATAGTGCCACTGTTGTAAAATGAGACTGACATTGGGGTTGAGGGAAGATGAGAAAGAGAGGATAAATAAATGATGTATACTGCATTAAAACAGATGAGGGAGAGGACTGTTTAAAAGGGGATATATGATTAGGTATTATTGACATGACAGGAGTCCAGAATGAAGGCTGCATAATGGAGTAGACTTGGGGGGAAGGGATTGTATACCAATGAAATAATTTTTCTTTTACTTTTCAAAGAGAAGAACAAGCTGGGGTTGGGGGGAGGGGTGGGCAGGGAGAAAAGTGCAACAATGAATGAATGGAAATCCTAAGTCTCTGTAAACTTACATTAAAATTAATTTTTTTAAAAAAACTATATAAAAATATATTTTTTTTCAATGGAATGAGTGGAGAAAGGGATTCCCTTCAGTAGTTAATGCTAAGGTAAATGATCATCCTATGCTGCGCAATGGTGCTCATAAACGCTAAGCAGAATAAGGTATTTGGCACAGTGGCTGTAACAGTAAATGCTGAAACGCAGCAACGGTTGTGCATATGGCATCTTCTCATTGCTACCGGGTCAGAACTGACTCACAGCGGCCTCTCCAGCTGGTTTTCAGAGGTGGTAAATCACATGAGAGGAGACGGTCCATCTTTTCCCGGCGGAACAGCTACTGAATCCAAACTGTTTAGGTTAGCTGGGCAGCTCTCAAAGGGAAGCTCCCTACAAACATCTAGTGCCCACTATGTGTTCCGGTGACCTGGTGGCTTAGTGGGCACGGAGTTGCTCTGCCAACCCAAAGGCACTTGATTTGATTTCACTCGCTTCTCTGCTCTTCGCATAATTTATAGTCTCTGAAAACCTGCCAGAGATCAGCTTAAAGTGGGTCCAATTTGAATTGTTTGTGCACTTATTTATTGTGTAATGCTTGTTATAGGGTAAACTAAATAAAGCAGTTACACAGCTTGTCCTGTTTTGAAGCAGCTGGGGCTTAGGATGGGAGATTTTGGAAATCCGTCTATGCTCCGATGTTTACCCCAAGGTTTTCAGGACAAACAGCATTTTGAAAGAAAATCCAAAAGGGTATACAGGTAAATAGTCTCTCTTGACGTGTGCTCCTTTGCTTTCTCAAGGTTCTGTTTGGTTCCACAGGATGGTTTTATTACCTACAGTTTCTAAGTGTAATGGATATTTTTATATGTCAGCTTGGCTAGGCTCTGACTCCCAGGGGTTTTGCCAAATCCTACTTGATGTTTTAGAATAAAGGAGTGGAATAACAGGGTGACGTGTACCTTCCAGAATGTACTTGAACATAATGCAATTTACGTGTCAGTTGAAAAGGGAGTTTCTTGCAGTCTACTTTCAGACTAGAAATAGTTATTTAGACAAAACTCATTCTTGAGCACTTTGCTTCTTTTGACACACAAAATATATGTCCCATTTCCTGACTGTGAATTTTGTGATACAACTTTGTGGGTTTTCTGCCTGACCCACAGATCTGGGGTTTTCCGACCTCTAATTGACACAGTGACTGCAGCAATGGGCCCAGAAATGTCAACCATGATGACCATGGTTCCAGATTGGGCAGGGTGTAGATCCGTTGTCCAAATAGGTAGCTGTGAATCGTACTTGACTTGAGGACACCCAACGACAGCAAGTCGATGAATCAATAGAGGTCTCCCCCTGAAGAGTGACCTAGGAATTTGGACTTCCCAGGCTGCAGAATCATGTGTGTGCACCAATCTCTTGAAGTAAATCTTTATCAATCTAACAAGATATCTTAGATATGGGGCTCAATTCCAGATACCAATAAAAAGTAAATATTGCGAGAAAAAAACCCAACATGTTTTATCTATATGCATGTGTGTGTATTTTATGTTCACTGTATGTTGTATTAAAATATTGCAATTTAAAAACCCAACATATTTTTTGTACACACACACACACACA